GTAGAAACGTTAAGTTCCAACAACGTTCTTGAATTGTATACAGACACGTTTATACCATGTTGTGATTACTTTTCTATATCTTAGAGGTATAGTGGCCAAAACTTAAGCGAAACTTTTTGCTTTATATCCTTGTCTCTTTCCAGCATATTATTTATCTTATCTTGCTTTCTATAAAACTGGACATGTAAGAATACAACTTGCAAATTATAACTAGAATTAAAATTATCTAAAGACATTAAATTAACACGAATAAAATTTTACTGCCACACATGGGTGACATAGCTTGAAATATAAGCACGCCCTGTTAAAATATGTGGTAATAAAAAAGAATATAAAAATCTGTAAACTTAGTGTATCTGAAAATTATGTATCTAGAGGTCTCAAATAATTTCTTTATTATTTCTTGAAACCAATAATTATGTATTTATGTGTTTAATTTTGTGCGGTAATAACAATAACAATTATTTGTTTAAAACTATTCATTTATTTTCCCACAATGGCGACTATTTTTAAACATGTCTGCTTTTAAAAAAGGGAACTTTAAAGTGGTAATACTATGCAAACCATAGAAATTACTTAAGCATGTATCAAGAACGTTTAGACAACTTTAAGGAGGTGTCAAAAGTGTTCATAACGTTTCAGATATCAGACTGATACACCAAAAAGTTATAAAACTATGAAGTAAATTCTGCTGGTGCAAATCACATGATTTCAACTATGATAATATAATATGAAGATATTTCAACTGTATTGTGAATGATTTAGTTATTTTAACGTAATTTCCACTCATTTGAAGTTGCGATATCAGTTTTCGTCACTATAATGCTACTTGGGATATCCTATAATTTAGTCAGCTAGCCAATATTCGTTACTGTCCATTACAGATGCACACACACAACTAAATATTGCAAGCCATTGCTATTTATAGTTAACTCGCGTGCGTAAGCAGCCGTAAGATGTATCGCTTATGCCGCGGCAGGCCCTATTCCAACTGATCGGTTTGTAGGAGGCCAAAGGGTAACCGGAAAACAAAACGCCGGCCATAAGCGGGCCGGCTGGAGGCAGGCCAAACCGCCGGTCAACCGCCCATGCCGAGCGGTGGCCGACTGTTTGCCCAGTTTTTGGTGCTTACTGGGACCTGATTCGTCTTAATTATATGTACAGCATAGGCGGTAATCAATCACTTTACTAGTGAGTATTGACAACCTCTTAAAAAATGGGATTTTTTAAAAAAGTACCATTTTTGTTTTTTTTAATGTACCTTCTTTTTTCTAAAAATTTGTAAAAACAATCGATTTTTTGTATAAAAATTTTGATTTTCGAAATGTAATTTTTCAAAATTTAAAAAAAACATACAAAACTAATGCCAATATAGAATTTGTAGAAAATTATAAGTGGACATTCTAACTAATTATTTTTTTTTAAATTGTTGAATTTATCAATTTTTTGTTCAGTTTTGGACACAATATTATTCGCGATAAATCAATGTTCAAATTTTCTTAGGTTATAGTAGAATCCACATTTAAAAAGTTTCAGTAAGATTGTCTGTCTGTTTTTCGACTAAAAAAATAATTACACTTAAAACACTAAGAAACTATAAAACTAACTAAACACTTAACTACCAATTATTTATATATCACTACTGTACAAGAGTCTATTTATTTGCACGTATATTTAATTTATTTCGTCGCGAGTACCAAAGCTTGACTAACTACCCCATGCTACGCTGTTCTTTATATATTCAGTGCCTACGTCACACTAGTCACGAACATTCCAGCAAGCTCCGGTGTGCTCTCGAGCGCTGACTCACCGGCGATGAGTCATCATTCCGAGATCCGGAGCAGTATTCGCTAAATTATGTAAAATGTTTAAGCGTCAAAGATAATGTATATATATATATATATGTATATTTTAACAATGCCCAAAATTATGCTTATCACAATTAAAAATAATGAAATCAATTATATTATGTAAAATTAATAAATAAATAAAAAAACTTAACAAAATAAAAATGATAAAATCAAAAATAATAAAATTAATTATTAAATGTTTAGTTAGTTTTTAATTAAATGAAAAATCAATGAATTTTACTACTTTTTTATTATTTAAAACCATAGACCAAAGAATTATATATCTACGATCAGATAGGGCCAAAAATGTATAGAATTGGCAACAGTTTTTATGTATTATTTTCAACAAAATTACGAAAATCCAAATTTTGATCTAGAAAGAGAAAAAAGTGAGTAATAAAAAAGTCGTAAAAAATCTACATTAAAACAACGAAAAAAAAATTACCTATATCGGAAAACTTTTATTTTTTGGTTGCCCGCTTTGGGTAATAAAACTCATTCATAAGGAGATTAAACAAAAAAAATAAGAAAATCATATAGATATTATTTTGTTATGCATATATGGACCAATAAGATTTCAGAAAACGAGTGGTTTTTTCAGTTTTGCTGCGATAAAACTACTATTTAGGTGACTATTTCCCTCGTCTTAATTTCCACCAATCACAAACGCGCAATTTTGAATTACAAATGGTTTCTAGGTGAAAAAACTGTATGACAGCATCTGTCAGCAGTTTACCCGCGGCAAAACAGTTGTTATCATCAAAAATTGCAATTTATATTTTAATTGTTAACTGTTACTCATGAAATAGTCTTGTCAAATACCATTCGGGCATCTAATTTTTCCTGTGAAAAAAAATCTGGAAAACACAATGCTAAATAATATTTTTTAACAAAATGCATTTGTGCAAATATTACTTAGCAACGTGTTTTTTCGATTTTTTCGGAAAAATTAGATGCCCTTATGATATTACTTACGAAAAAAACAATCGTTTATACGAGTATGCTAAAAATAATTGTCACTGTTGACGTTTTTAATTTTAAAATTAAAATGTTAAAAAATATGCGTTTTGGTCAAAAAAATCATACAGAAATTGAATCAGCAGTTAAAAATATTCGTGAAATAGTTTTGCCGAATACCACTCGTGATAAAATTTTCCCTGAAAAAATTTTTGATTTTTATTTACTTAAGATTTTTCCTTGGAAATTTTGCTCGTGGAATTAACTTAAAACCACTCGCCTAGCGGCTCGTGGTCTTAAAAATTAATGCCACACTAAAAAATTCGTATACAAATCAAAAATTTTACTACAACACTATAGGTATTATATACGATAAAATATTTGCATAACTGCATTATAAAATGGAAAAAGACAAAATATACGAATTCATAGAAATATTATAATAACAATGTAAAAGTATGGATACCCGTTTTTTTGTCTTTTACTAATTCATAATGCATTTGGAGTACTCATATAAAGTTTATAATTTTAAACAGAAAGAAAAAAATAAAAGTTTAGGTTATATACAGATGTAACTTATATTATTTTTATTGTGTGTAAAACTAAGGTCCCTGAAAAAATAAAGTGAAAGAAATCCCCTGTTAAAGTTTTATACTTTAAACATATTTTTAAAGGAAAATAATACGGGCAGTCATACGCAACACGTCGCTAAAAAAATTGATAAGGATTACATGCTTGTGTACCGTCGAATAAGGAAAAATTTTAAGAGCCAACGTCTATAAAACGCTGAACGTTGTCCCTTTGTATAGGAATTAAAAACTATTTATCTATATTGCCATGGAAACATATTATTTTTTATAACTTTACACCAATCTTAATTTATAATTTATTGTTATATATTTAAAATATTACTAAATATTTATAAAATAAGGGTTATAAAATTTATAAATTCATTTTCATGCGTTATCAGAAAATTCCATTACACTTAATCTTTATGTCTTTTGAAAATCTTCTGAAAATTTAAATAGAACCGAATTTTTCCCCGAATGGGCCACGTATTCAATTCTTCGCTATCCTAATGGTATTGATTTTGAATACGACGCACACGTTTGATCTTATCAAGATAAATGGATTTTATTAAAATTTTTGAATTCCACGATTCCCTTCGCACTTAAGTGGTTTAAATGAAAATTCCTTTGTATATAAAATTGACTAGGGTATTTTAAAAAGGACACATTAATCCAATATCTGAGAACAATATAAAGTCATTATAAAATACTTTGCTAGCCAATTTAAAATCTACCAACCAAAAAAAGGTTAAAAGGTTATATTCATTAGAAATACCAGACAAATAAATTATGGGGCACTATAAATATAACATTTAAGTGCTATATGAAATAAAACACATTCGTGTAAAAAGTCACATCAAGATTTAGCTCACATAAAGTTGTAAAACTTTGTACTTTTATTAGGTGACTTGAAAGTTGACCACCAATAATTAGTTTTGTAAGCAATCCTAAAAGAAGACGTCGTAAAATTACAAGTTATGTTTAAAAATGATAGTTAAACCGTTGTAAAAAACCTATTTTAGGTTTTCAGTTTGTTTTGATCAAAAATAACTAAATTTAAATATCTTCTTAGGAATTTATTTGTTTACTTAATTTTATAAATTGATAGATTAAAAAATAAACCGGTATAGCTTTTAGGGGTTTCATCGAAACGCTTTAAGGTCGTTCAGGGTATTTAAAACAAATATGGGGCTAGGGCATCACTACGGACCGTAGTCTACGGTGTTATTTTTGACCAAACATTTATTAAGAAGCGATACAGTTTGAGAAGGGATCACGTGAGGCAATAGCGATTAATTATTTCGCCACAAAATCGTGATTTTATTTCGGATTAATATACTAAAACATGGTTGACAAGAGGGGGACAGACGCACAGTGTTGCGCTCCATAGACAATAATCTTAAAATCCAAATTAAGATTCGATGTAAAAAAATGTATTATTTTTGCAGTAATATAGTCGTACTTTATAAAAAATTTAACAAAAAGTGACCATGATTGCAGGCGGCTCGCAAAAAATTATTTATGTTTATCAAAACAATTTACTTGTTTTAGCAGTAAGTATTGCACTTGTTTTACATTTTGGTTGAGAATGTTATTTCTTTGTTAGTGTTTAGTTCATTTTACTATGTATGCTAATATTAAAGGTAAGTTGAACAAAAATAGATTAAAAATCCTCAAAGTATATTACCCTAAATCTAAAAAAAATTAAAAAACTGTAAACCCTAAGTATCCAAATTTTAAGTAAGATTTAAAAAAAAAAGTTTAAAGAAGATATCAAATATATTTTCTGTATAAGTACCCTTACCTTCATACATTATAAATGTATGATCCTTTCCTGCTACTAATATGCACTTTTTGATTTTTTTGTTTTTTTTTAGATAATGCGCTTCTTCTCGTCCCAAACGCGATTTTGTGTGAGGTATGGGTTTCAACTAATAAAGACGACCGTCAAAGTTCTATTAAATTAAAATTGGAACAAATATTAAAAATAGAAGATTACACGGATGATGTCGCCAAAATTTTGAACGAAAAAAGTCATTTTTTTTGTTTAAATGTGGAAAGGCTTTGGAAAAACTGCTCTAGGAACATTAATCTATTTAAAAGAAAACATCGGACTTGGCTTGAAGGTAATTTGTCTTTACCATCGGGTATTATTCAACTTAGTAAAGAGCCAGAACATGACATTCAACCAGGGACAAGCAACATTAAAAGGGGTAGGCCAAAAATACATTTTAAAGAAGCTTCTCAAAAAACAAAAATTCGAAGGGTTGAAAGTTTAGTTTTGGAGCATTCTGCAGAAGAACTGTGTTTTGCTGCTGAGAGATCCTTAAAATTAAATTGTGCACCTCATCAAAAGACGAAAAAAATTCTAAATAGGCAAGAAACCCTAGCGTTGGTTTACGATTTAAACCTATCTGTTAAAAAGTATAATGTTCTGCGCTCTGTTGTTAATGCTCTGCACAAAAATTGTTTTCCAAGTTATCGAGCGCTGTTAGAAAAGAAAAATGAATATATGCCCTCCAAAATCACAGTTACTGAAATTTCAGCTGAAGTAGACCTTCAGGAACTTCTTCAGAAAAAAGTAGATAGTATTTTAAAATTACCAGATTTAAACAGTAATTTCTTTTGTAATCAGATAAAGCTTTAGTGTAAATGGGGATTTGATGGTAGTTCAGGACACAGCATTTATAAACAAAAATTTAGTAGCGAATATTCTAATTCCACAGATGAATATATGTTTCTCATCGCCTGTGTGCCTTTAAAATTAATTACTTTGGATCAAGAAGTCATCTGATCAAATCCTAGAACTTCTTCGACTCACTACTGTCGACCTATTAAATTTTTGTTTATAAAAGAAAATGCTGCACTTGTTCGACAAGAAGAAAGCATAATCAAAAATGTTATTAGTGGGTTAGCCAAATATGAAGTCTTCATTAATGGAAAAAAAATTGGTATTTCTTTTGATATGATACTAACCATGTTTGACCGAAGTGTAGCAAATATTTTGTCAGAGACCAATGCAACGTCACGATGTATTGTTTGTGGAGCCACACCCAAGGAGATGAATATGGATACAGTGTTAAATAAAGTAGCAATTAAAAAAAATTATCAATTTGGTCTATCATCCCTTCACTGTTGGATTCGGTTTTTCGAATGCCTGTTACATATTTCGTATCGTTTACCATTTCAGACATGGCAAGTAAAAGGTAAAGAAAATAAAAAGAAACTGGAAGAGACTAAACGAATCATTCAGGTCAGTTTTAAGTCCAAAATGGGTATAATAGTTGACAAACCAAAACCTGGATATGGTAATACTGCCAGACGCTTTTTTTAAATTCAAGTTTGAGTTCTGAAATAACAGGCATAAATGAAGACCTGATTAAAAAATTTTCATTAATATTAAAAGTAATAGCATCTGGATGTAAAATTGATAAGATGAAATTTAAGATATTGCTAACGGAAATAAGAGACCTTTATATCGACTTATATAAATGGTATTATATGCCCAGTACTGTTCACAAGATTTTGGTTCACGGCTGTGATATAATAGATTTTTTTTGAACTTCCTATTGGTCAACTTTCAGAAGAAGCGTTGGAGGCAAGGCATAAAGAGTTTCGAAAAATTCGCTTAGATAACTGTCGTAAATCATCTCGTGTGAATACTAACACTAATATAATTAGAACGCTTTTAATAACATCAGACCCAGATTTAGCATTTTATCGCAGTAAAAGCCTAACAAAAAAGAATACTCTTAATTGGGATTTGGAGATTTTGGACTATATAATTGATTCAGATCTTTCTTTTGAAGCTGAAATATTTCATAACTATATGGAAGATAGTACTGATTCTGAGTTTAAGTAATTAATAAAAATACCTTCTAGTATATTTTGATTATTTGTTTTTCTTTGTTTGTGCAGATTTATTTTGAAAAGCTGTTTTTCTGGAATTAAAATTAAGTTGTTTAAAGAACATCCTAAATAAATTTGATTTAACACTATTTGTTATGTATTAATCTATTATATAATATCTGTTTTTTGTCCCAAAATAGTTATTAATTCATTTTGAGTTTTTTTTTAATTCTTAGGGTAGATTCACAATGTGTCATTGTTTTATTTAAAAAATGTTTATTTTTATTACATTTTGTATCCAAAAGTAAAAAAGAGTAGTATTTAACAACCCTAGGATTTTTGTCCCGAAGTGAACCTTTTCGCAACACTGTGAGACGGGACAAATCCACGGTGCCCGTTGAGCTTTGGGAGCCCGGGTCAGCGGCTTACAGGTACATACAAATAGCTAAATTTATTATCAAACTAAAACTAGAGGCCCAAAAGGTTAAACATCCAGGGCCTGTTTCGGCTCTCGGCGGCCCTGGGTTGAACTTGTGTGCAGTATTTCTTATTAATTATTTGAACCAATAAAAAATCGCCACATGTAATTTTTTTGACAACACACCAAACATCGGATAATTTGCTTAGTATTATATTATTAAATATAGTATTCCAATCCCCATGAAAGAGGATAAATATATAAGAGTATAGGCCAAAAACTAAACTGAGTCATATAAGGGATAAAGCCCCGAGGAGTAGAGAGTAATTAGTGGGTGGGGATTTACTATCAATAAATTTTAAAAAAAACAAAAGTAACCCTCTGAAATTCATGATTTTAAATAAAATGAATCTTAAAAAAAAACTTAATGACAGGGATATTCCTATGACTACCTGATACTCCATTACGTGTTTTTGTAAAATTTACCTTAAATATTTTATAATAGTATCCGCAACACTTGTTTCCTTTTTTCAGTTCAAATTAAAAGGAGTTTTAAAAAATATATACACAATATGGATTCCATATTATGGAATCCCCTATTTTGTCTGCCGTTGATTTTTATTATTTATGTCATAAGGCTGAGAAGTGGGTCTTCTTGTGCTGAGCTCAAATTTAAGCGAGCACAAAAAGACACTTCTCAGCCGAAGGGCATACAACATTTTATTTACAGGGCACAATTTTTTTGTTAAAAGTTACATAAAACGTACTTACCAGGATGTAAAAAACTTTACCTGATTGGTCTAAATTATTTTTACAGCCTAGGAGATAATCGGTAGTGAGCGTTGACAATAATAAAGCTTAAATTATAGAACGCTTGGAGATATAATAGTTTTATCCTTACTTGTAAAACAGGTAATTTGAGCATTTAGATGGAGTCACTCTCGGGCAATTTTTCAAAAAACACCGATTTTTTAAATAGTGCAAATAACCGAAATGATTATAACTGGTTTAAATCTCCTATTAATATTTATTATCATATAAATATACAGTTAATTAAAAACTCCAATACTTTGAATTTTTACAACTAACTTCTTATCAATTTAAATAAAGATTTAAAGAATCCGCAGAGATCTTAAGAAAAATTTTTCTGAAGATTATTTAATCAAATATTGCAAAGTTTAAATGAAAGCTTATGGGTATTTGACGAATTTTAATAATTTAATCTAGCTTCGCTAGAGAAATTCGATAGGAAATGAACATAAATGGTGATGATTTCAAATATAAATGCTTTCGCTGCAAATTAATAAATTTGAAATCGCAAATGTGTGTTAAATTTAGCCATACAAAGTAAATAAAATATTGAAATGAAAAAATAAAATTTATAGTTTAAAAACTAGACTTCAATCAGTCGCTATTGAAATATGAAGTAACTCACTTGAGATTTGATTGAACGCATTTTAAAAATGGTGCACAAAGTAAAATCAAATAAGCTTGTGTCACTTAGGGATTCATCAAAGTGTTTTTGTGTTTCGAAAATATAGAAATAAAAATTTATTTTCGGCATTCGAGGTGTTTCGAAGTAGTTTACATTCGAGATGTCGACGCCTCAAAGAAATATAAATAAAATAACAGTACCCATTTACGGTTTATTGGATTTCCTTTGCCACTTCATCCAGCAAAATTGAATTGCAAACAGCATAGATTTTCGCAAGTTTGGTTTTAACAATATCAAGAGTTTATTAAAAAAAAAATACAAATAAATTTTTTATTCTAACTTAATTTATCAATACTGTTTTTTGATATTGCTTTTCCACTATACTAAAATGATCGTTAACCAAAACAGAGACATCTGACAGCTGTCAATTAGTTTTAACCTCACTTTTTTTCAAATTTAATTTAAAGCTAACTTCAGCCCGTGGTTAAAGTTAAGAAATGAAATGGGTGTTGAATAAAACTCTTTTATCTACTTCTATTGCATAATATTGTTTTTTTCCATAATATTTGAGGCGAAGGTAAATTACAATAAATAAATACAAATATTAAATCTTAGTTGCTCAAATTCTTTTTTCGTTTATAAAAAAAATTACTTATAATTCAATAAATAATAATGTATACAATTTTTTCAAGCGAATAACACTTTTTTATTCTTTTATTAAAATGTGTATCCTACACTATATTACATATGTTTTTTGCCCTCTGTACCGGACTTCTATAAATTGTAGAAAAATATATGGGGCATTCCACGCCAAATCGGATTCCTCCAATTTTTTTATATTTTTTAGTACTCCTTGAAAGAGCTTTCTCAGTAAATTTTAAAATTTTTTTGATCACGTGTTCAAAAGATATCAAATTTTCAAAAAAACTGCTTTTTTTTGGTTTTCGCTCATAACTTAAAAAATGGTCCAAATCAAAATGTTCATTCTATAATTATTATAGAATCTATATAAAATTTTCGTTTTTAGGATATATGTATATATATAAATATGTTGAGAAAATTTGAAGCGTTTTAAGTCAAGATTTTTGAGTTTTAAAGTTTAAATCGTGTTTTGAAAATGTGTGTCTTATTCGATTTTCGCGAAAAAAATTTATTTTCAACTTCCATCTATTCAGCCTGGTCCGGTAGTAAGCCTTCCATGATTACTATCTTTTTTCGAAACTTATATAATAATTATTAGAGAATTTTTTTTTTAATTTTGAAAAATCGAAAAAAAAGTGTTTATGGAAGGCCCACTACCGGACCAGGCTGAATAGTTGTTGAATAGAAGTTGAAAATAAAAATTTTTCGCGAAGACACATTTTTAAAAACACGATTTAAGCTTTAAAACTAAAAAATCTTGACTTAAAACGCTTTAAATTTTCTCAAAATATTTTTTTTCGAAAAGTACATTTAAAAACGAAAATTTTATATAGAATGAACATTTTGATTTGGACAATTTTTTAAGAAGTTATGAGCGAAAAACAAAAAAAAAAGCAGTTTTATGAAAATTTGATATCTTTTAAACCCGTGATCAAAAAAATCTCAAAATTTACTGAGAAAGCTCTTTCAAGGAGTACTAAAAAATATAAAAAAATTGGAGAAATAAAAAAAAAAATTTTAAACCATCCGATTTGGCGTGGAATGCCCCATATTTATCCCAGTGTATATTTCTTTATTATAATACATAAACTTAAAGATTTATTTTTTAAACAAAATATAAGGCCATTAAAGATAACATTTTTTATTATACAATCAATATTATTTATTGTGGGTTTGGAATGCGCTTTCTTTGAAACGAGTTCATTGGTGTTGGTACAAATAAATCATATGTTTTGGGTGCAAGATATCCATTGGAATCATAATCAGATGAAGGTCTAATATGTTCGTATGGATTTTCAGACGT